CTCTATCCACTGCACCACTTAAATGCCCTTAAAGTCAGGAAGACCTGAGTTCAAATCCAGCATCAAGTATTTACTAGCTGTGTGACCTTGGGTAAGTCACTTAACCTTTGCTTCAATTTCCTCAACTTTAAAATGGGGATAATATTAGCACCTATCCTTGGCACATAGTAGGAACTTAATAAATACTTGCTTCCTTCCTTCCACCAACACTTAGATCTCCTGACTTCAAATTCACTGCTCTTTTTACTACAACATGATTAAAGGGTCCAGCCCCACTGGTTAAAAACGAGAGGGGAAAAGAATAGGGGTAAATCTGGGAGGGATAAGGGAAGGCCCTGAGATAAATGCTGATGAACCACAACTTGGCACTTAAAGTGAGAGTGGTGTAGTGGGAAGAGAATCTGTGCTGTATTCCAGAGTCCTGAGTTCAAATCCCCAATATGTTAAATAGTCTGGAACTTGGGACAAGCCATTTATTCCCTCTGAGCCTGAGTTTCCTCATCTCTAAAATGAAGGAGGGGAAAGGGAAGGGTTGAACTTCTTAATCTCCAAGGTTTATCCCAGCTCTGTGTCTTAGAGTTCTCCAAATATCTTGTGCTCCTAGATCTGTTTATTTTATTATTTCCATTTCCTGTTATATATGTATCTGACTTTTGACTTTATGAGCTCTCCAGGGCTTGATATGGGGCAGGAGGACTGACCATCTTCCATATGGAAAGAGGGTAGAAGCTGCTGGTCACCTTTGATTTGGGGAAACTGACTTCTGCAGAGTTGTGTCTGGGCAGCCTAAGTGAAAGGGCATCCCATCAAGTGGGCATGGCTTGGGACCCCAGGGCCAAATCTAAGTAGGGAAAGGAAGCACCATGGTGCAGTAGAAAGAAGTCAGAAAATATAAGTGAATATAAGCTCCAATTATGGGTAAATCACTTCACATATCTGTAGAATGGGCATAATAATGCTATGCTTCTACATAGCTCAGAGGCTTCTACATAGCCATGGCTAAATTATGCTTTAGCTATACAAATTTGAATAATGATCCTTTATTAATCATTATAGGAGAGAATAGGCAACAAAAACAGGCTATATCCTTATTCATTAGTTCCAAAGAAGAACAGTGCTTATATATCCCAAGATGTAAACAGGAGTAGCTGAGAACAGAAGAGGAAGATGACTCATTGGCCCTTTGTCTGCCATCCCCTGCTGCAGGTCTACCAGTCCCTTCCTGAACTTCTAAGACCATTAACATCTCCATTCTCTGCCCTTCTCCACCCCTCCCCCCAATTCCAGTTCCTTAGACATCCTGTCAGCTGCAGAGAGAGAGAGAGACGCTGGGGCAACCAGGGGGTGCCAGCTTGTCTGAGATAGATGACATCTAACAGGATACTTCATCCATCCTTCTGCCTGGGACCTGGAACCTAAATCTTCCACATCGAAGTTTTTATTCTCAGTGATAAAGAATAGTCCTTCCTCATGTTTCAGATTCTCTCAGTCCCACTTTCCAGCTCCCTGCCCCCAACCTTTAGCTCTTTCCTCTTTGGTCCCAGCTTTGAGTCCCTCCCCTGGTCACTCCTCATGACCCCCCAAAGCCTCCATATCCCTCTGACATTGTGGGGCTTAGGATCAGATACAGGAATCTCACCTGGCCTAGGATAGAGATTCTCCCCTGCTCTAGGCTACAGCACTGCTTGGGAGGTCTGGGGCAATCACAAGGCAGATATCAGAGACTGACTACTAGTCAGTAAGATAATGGTATATAGCCCACTAGGGACCTCTCCCACAGGCCTTCTTGCTCTTGGTATCTGGCACCAAGGCTGTAAATTATTGCTTGGAGATCCTCAATGGACAGACTTGCTTTAAACTCTGTAAGTTTGTGGTTTTCTATTATTTTTCTATCTATTCCCAATTTTTCTGTTTATTTGAATAAACTTTGGGAAGATACTATTTTCTGAAGTCAGACCACCACATATGGGTGAGTAAGCTTTATAAGTGTCCCTGTGAGGTAAGGGAAAGAATAAGCATTTATTAAGCACCTACTATTTGCCAGGCAAGGGGCTGAGAGTTTAAAAATATAATCTCATTCAATAACGATGATGATGAAATATAAGCCTGAGCCTCTTTGGGTACTCACCTTTGGATCTCTGGATGTCCAGTGGGACACCACTCTGAGATGTCTCTTTGGAAGCCCCAAATCTTCATTTTCTTTTAATCTTTGCATATGTTTGCATATTATATTCCAGGGGTGGAGAACCTGCAGCCTTGAGGCCACATGTGGCCTTCTAGGTCCTTGGGTGTGGCCTTTTGACTGAGTCCAAACTTTACAGAACAAAGCCTTTTCCTAAGGGAATTTGTTCTGAGAAGTTTGGATTCAGTCAAAGGGCCATACTTGAGGACCTAGAGGGCCACATGTGGCCTCAAGGCCCACAGGTTCCACACCTCTGTTACATTCTGTAGAGTCCAACACCACGGTGATAAGGCTGGTCAAACCAAGTTAATTCAATTCATCTAAGAGCATTGTCAGATTAAGTCAATAAGCATTTACAGAGCATCTGCAATGTGTCAGGCAGTGTGCTAAGCTCTGGGAATACAGATGGAAGCAAAGAAGAAAGGAAAGAAGGAGGGAAGGAAGGAAGGAAAGAAAAAAGAAAGGGAGGGAGGGAGGGAGGAAGGATGGAAAGAAGGATGAAAGAAAGATAGCCCCTGCCTTCAAGGAGATTAAATTCTAATGGGGAAAAACATAACAGGAAGCTAGGAAAGGGAGTGTAAGAAGATATGAGAAAAAAGTTTGGAGTGTTAGGAGTGGAGCTTAAAGAGGAAGGGAGAAGTGAATATGACTGGCCTTGGGTCCTTTCTTAAAATGGAGGTTCTGGGAGGAACTGCCCAATCAGAGGAAAAGGCCACAGGGCCACAGGAATCTTCCAGGGTGAGAAGGTTTGCTAAAGCCTGGTGGAGAAAGAAGTCTAGACCATCAAAGCCTAAAGGAGCAGAATTAGAGTCAAAAGAATTGGGTTCACATCCTGACTGTTCCCTATTTACTCCTTGTAGAACTTTGGATGAGTTACTTTTCTGTGGGCCTCATCTGTAAGTTGAGGAGTTGTACAAGATGCTAGTTACTTGATTTTGATGACTCCTTCCAGTTCTGATAAATTGAGAAACCTCCTCTGAGTCAACACCCTGCATGACTGTGGATCATTGGCTCGTAGATTTAAAGCTGGACAGGGCCTCAGAGGTCATCTAGTTCCAACACCTCTTTTTATATATGGGGAAACAGCGGCCAAGAGAGGTTGAGAGACTTGTTCTCTGGGAGCTCACAATCTAGTTGAGGCGATTACAGAAAACAACCTATAATTAAGGGCCATGCTACTCTGGTTAAAAGCACTAGATGTTATTAGTGTTCAGAGGAGTGAGGGATTGGTGGGCCCTCCTCCACCCCCTGGCCATTGAGCCCCATCTTTGTTCCTCTTCCCTTCCTAATGCTAAGAGGACACAAGAAAATGTCCCATCTAATTAGGTCCACAAATTCAGAAGCATTTCTTTATCACCTTCCCCACTCTACTCTGCCTCCATCATGCTCCAAGTCTGGACTCAAAATGACAATCGTTCTCCCTCCCTACCCAAGATCCCACTTCTTCTGCCTCAGACATATATTTCCTGGGTTTTAAGATCCCACTTCCCGAGCTCCCTTAGCCCCCTGCTCCCCTGTCTCCTGTCTGGCCCAGTTGGGAAGTTCTTCTGCATATCTAATCTCAATATCTGCCTTTGGCCTGCTTCCTCCGTGGATATGGGGAACAGCTGGTCCCTCCGAGCAGTAAATCTTTGTAGACTTGGACACAGATTCTAATTCCTTTCCTCTTTCCTCAGAGGTCTGACTTTTAGCTCTTTCCCAATCGTGTGTCTCTCCTCTTATCCCAGGACTGAATAGAGGATTGCTAACTAGGTCAGCTGTGGCTGATTAAAATGGAGAGAAGAGAAGAGACTGAGTATCTTTCACTTCCTCATCTCTCATCCCAGCTCTGTCCTTCCCCTCCAGACCCCTGATCTACTCTTCTCCAGAGAGCCCTCCAGGATGAACCCTTCTTGGAAACTCTTCTTCCCCCTCTTTGCCCACCAGCTCCATTCGCCTTAGATGGTTAGCATTCTGTCCTTGCTTCTCTCTCCCTGTTGCTTCTTGCCTTAATTTTTCCACTTTGATTTTTTTTTTCTTAACCCTTACTATATCTCAAACAGGTTCTGGAAATTCATAGCCTTCACAACTGATAATAAAGTGTCAACAGAGGAAACGAAATCAATCATCAAATGAACTGAGATAAAGCAGAAACAACTCAATCCTCACAGCTGTTGCCTAGCCAGCTTGTGGTACCCTCTGATACCTAGACCTTTCTCCATCATTACAGAGGGATGGCCCAATCCCACCCCATTTGGGGAACTCCATTTATTTTTTCCCTTTATGTGTCCTTGTGCTCCTTTGATTAACCGCTTTCCCAGCAATGGTGGGGAGCAAGGAATAGGAAGAGTAGGTCCCAGGAGGCTCACTCTGGTTCCCCCCTTCTGACTCCCCCAAATATGGAACCTATGCCTTCCACCAGGTATATTTTGGCACAGACTTGAACAAACCCTTTCAACACCCTTGTGGCCTGAGGTGCTTTTTCCAGAATCTCTCACTCCCCCATTGCCCAGCCCCATCCCCAATCCTCTCACTGGGGTAGGAAGGATAGAGTAGGGGCTGCAGCCTTAAGGAGAGAGAATAGGATAGAATCGATTTTTTTAAGAGCGGAAAAAGAACATTGGAGATTAAGTACACCCCATTTTATTGGTTAGGACACCAAGGAACAGACAAGTGAGTTATTCTTTACACTGGGATGCTTCTCTTGAGTAGCAGGGGCTCTGGATCCTCACAACCTCACATGGAGCAGCTAGTCCTTTTGACTCAAGCACCCAAGGTGGGGGACCTACAATATCGCTCCCCCTGCGACCCCCCCCCCCCACTCCATCCCCATTCCCAGGCAAGGCCAGGGAGCTGGAGCCGGGGCTGGACTGGGCTTGAGGGAGCAGCGGATGTGGGAGGTTTGTGGAGGGGGTGCGGGGGAGACCGGAGGGAACTGTCAGCTGGCGAGGAAGAGAGGGGAGGCGGCCCCATAAACAGGGAGAGAGCACTCCATGTAAACGCGTTTGGCAATAGGAAACGGTATATTAGAGGGGAGGGAGTGGCGGAGCCGGGCCAGGCAGGAAGAAGCTGGAAGAAGCCACTTTACAGCTCCTGCCCCCTTCCCAGTCTTTTCCCGAGTGCCTGCTGGCCGAGCAAGCGGCCCCCGGGGCCTGGCGGGGCTGGAGAGAGAATCGAGAGCATCCCCACCCTATCCCCGGGCCCCCAAGGGCCCCAGGACCCCAGGACTCCAAGCAAGCGGCCGGCGACTCAGCATCCGCAGACCATATCCAGAGGAGGAGGAGGAGGTGGTGTCAGGGGCATGGGAGGAGGACAGGAGCTGGCCTGAGTCCACACCTCTCTCCGCGCCCCCCCCCCCTCCCCAGTCCAGGGCTGCTAGCCTTCGGGCCACAGCCTAGGGCAGAGCTAGGAGGTGAGTCGGGGTCAGCCCTGGGGGAAAGGGGAGGGGGAAGAGGTCTCTGATTTCCAGGCGTGAAGCCCATATTATGATTCCAGGATGGGATATCCTTATTCCCAGAAAGCCTCAGCCTTATAACTAAAATTCCTACAACTTCCACTCCATAGGCCTAAACCTGTAACCCCTAGCCTATAACTCTTGGTCCCCAACACAGGGGGGTTGTTCAATAGTGTTGTTTAGGTAACCCATAGGCTCTGAAATTCCTAAGATCATCCTTCCTAGTTGTGTTACCTCACTCCCAAATCAGAGACAGCAAAACTACACTTTCTAGATTCCCCTCCCCTGGTTATTTGCACCAAGATTTGATTTGCTGATCTGGGCTTTTCCAGTGAGCAGAGGCCTCCTAAGTTCTAAAGCCTGGTGCTGGGACCGAGCTCTCTCACTGACCATGTTAGTTTCTTGAATCTTTCTCCAACTCTCCTTTCTCCAGACTTGGTGTCACCCATCTGTCCTCTGAATGTCTGGTATCTTCATCGCACCATTTCCCTCACTTTTTTCAGCACTTCTCAATAACGTATCCCAGTTCTAAAGTGTACATAGCCTTTTCTGCATTGATTTAGTTCAACTTAATCTTTAAAGACCTACTTTGTGCAAGGTGCTGAAGGTACAAAGACAAGATATTAATCCTGCTCTTAAGAAGTTTGTGATCTAAATGGGGGAGAGTGGAAGGACAAGTATATAAGCAATTATGATATAAGGGGTGTGAGATAAGCACAAAGGAGAGATCCAGGCAAGGTATCATGAGACACTTAAGGAGGGAATAATTGAAGGAGGCTGAGGGTGGGGATGGGGGGGTGGAAGATGGGGGGTGGGGACAGTGTCAGGGGAGATTTCTTGGAGGATGTGGCTTTGAAAGAAGGGGGATTAAAAGGCTGGAGATAGGAGTAGAAGTATCCTTTTCAGGCATGTGATTAAGACTGCAGGTTCACAGATGAGAGCCAGCAAGTAGAGAATGGGAAGGAGAGTAGTCTCATGAAGGAGAATAGTATGAGACAAAGGCATATTGTAGGCAGAGGTGCCTATTATATAGGAACCAGATTAAAATGCAATTGGGAAATGTTTAACAAAAATACAATACAACATAGATAAAGTTAATTTGTGGTTTTCTAAGTCAATATGCCACCAATAGGGAGCCTTATATATGATTTAGTAGCCCCAGTTCCTATGTGAGTTTGACACCACTTTGCAAAGGACCTTGAATGCTAAAGCCAGGAATTTTTTATTTTATTGGGGAGGTGATGGGAGCTACTGAAAGTTTTAGAGTAAAACAAAATCAGTCATTTTTAGACTGATTACTTCCTGAGGGCCTCAAGGAAGGCTGCAGAATCTCATTAGGAGTTCCTTTCTGTTCCATTGGCTCTAAAGGAGGTTTTCCAAAATATCAAATCCCATGTGTGTGGGCAGAATCAAGTTGGTCTCTACCACAAGTAATGACCCTTTCCTGGACTGGGAGTTCTGGCCTCTTCTTGACCTTTGCCTCAATTAGGTCTTCCCCTAGATTTCAGGGCCCTCCATTGGTTGAACCCACCATCTGACCCCGTAACGTTAACCCCATAGCCACAACCCTCTTATTGCCAAAGGGAGTAAGATGCCTAATAGTCAAGTCCTGACTCTGATACTAACTAGCTTGTGACCTTGGGCAAATTACCCTCTCTCATCCTCAGTGTCCTTATCTTTAAAACAGGCAAGTTGGGGAAGGCTGATCTTGGCCCTAAATTCTACGCTCCTATGGCCCTCCTTCAGAGACAGTCCTTTAGGGGGCCAAAATCTCTGTCTTTCTTCCTCTGGTTCTCCTGTAAATCCATTCCCTGCCATCTTGGGACACTCCCCTTACCCCACTCTCCCTGACCACCTTGGCTTTGTAGACCAACATCCACTGGGTATACTGTCTAGAAGATCATCCTACTCCCTCCCTTTTCATGAAGAGATGAGAATATATGCCTGGTTTGGACAAATTGATCTTCCCCTAAAGGCAGTTTAGGACTCTGCCCAGAGAGGACCATATTATAGGTTCTACTTAGATGAAACATCTGTTTCCTTCTCTTCTATTTAATAATTAACCCTACACAGTGACATGTTGTGCTGTGAGGTTTTCACTTCTCTGACCCAGACACCCTCAGGACAGGGATGATCTGAAGGGAGGAAGAGACATGGGATCATAGTTAGTTATATCCAAGTCTTATGCATTTTACCTTCATAACATCTCCCTTATCTGAGCCTTTCTCTCTGTCACCAAAGCCACCACCCTAGTTAAGGGCTCTCATCATCCCAATATGAGTGCAGCAGCCTTTCAATGAGGCTCTCAGCTTCCAATCTCTTCCTTTCTCCAATCTACCTTTCATAGAGTTTGCAAAACAATCTTCCTAAAGTACAGGTCTTACCCTTGCTCAAAAAGCTCTAGTGGGTCTCTATTTCCTCTGGGATAAATACTAACTCCTCCAACTAGCATTTCAGCCCTCCCCACTCTGGCTCCAACGTGCTTTTGTAGATGGCTCATATTACCCCCTTTCACTCACTGTACACTCAAGCCAAACTGGCCTGCTAGTGTTCCCAAAATTCCATCTGCTGTCTTTGTGCCTTCCCACAAACCTTCCCCCATGTCTGGAATGCATTCCCTCCTCTTCTCTGCCTTTCAGAATCCTTAGCTTCCTTAAGCCAGCCTGGTGTAGTGGATAGAGGGCTGGACTACAATCCTGCCTCAGTACCCTGGGCAAATCATTTCACCTGGGTGGCACCTGATGACCTCAAAAGTCCCTTTCAATTGGAAAAGTTTAGTCTGCCTGAAGGGGTTAATTGGGACTGGATTTAGTTCTTCCATGAACACTCCACAAGCTTCCACAGTGTGCTTTTAGCTACTCAGAGAAGCACCAGGGAACAATGGAAAGATTACTAGAATTTCAGTCATCCCATAAAGATTCTATAAAGCATAGGTGTGCTGGTAATGTTTAACAGCAGGCTTGTGTGTGTGTGTGTGTGTGTGTGTGTGTGTGTGTGTGTTGGGGGTGGGGTAAATGTATTCAGACATACTTTTTAAAGTTTAATCTACATTATTAAATTTCTCCCATCTTTTCTTTTTTTAAAATTAATTTATTTTGAATTATCAACAATCACTTCTACAAACTTTTGAGTTTTAAATTGTTCTCCCCCTCCCTCCCCACCTCCCTCCCCAAGATGGTGCACAATCTGATATAGGCTATACATATACATTGCTATTAAACATGTTTCACATTAGTGATGTTGTAAGAATTAGAACCAATAGGAGGAACCACCAGAAAGAGGAAACAAAACCCATCTTTTTTTTTTCTTTTTGGCAGTTGGGGTTAAATGACTTGCCCAGGGTCACACAGCTAGTAAGTGTCAAGTGTTTGTCTGAGGCTAGATTTGAACTCAGGTCCTCCTGACTTTGGGGCCGGTGCTGTGTCCACCCCATCTTTTCTTAAACCTGAAAATCAACAAAACAATAAATCAAGCCTTGATTTGTAGCATTTGCTAATGCTCATATTGAAAATTTAACAATCTATTCTCTCCAGGGGTACCAGCTGGCTCAGCTCAGGTCCCATTTTTCACAGAAAACCTTTCCAGAGCACCCTAGTCAGTGCACTTCCCATCCTCAAATTCTTTTGTGCTGACTTAATCTGTGTACATTTTGCACTCACAGTATCTTGCACTTAGTAGGTGCTTAATACATTTGATTTGATGATGGGTTTACAAGTAGAAAAAACTTTAGAGAGATTGTCTAGTCTTACTCCCTCATTTTAGGATTCCAGCCCACTGAAAGTTATCAAGCTGCCCAAGGTTTCTGCCTTGGGGCAGGCAAAAGAACAGTCAGGCTCTTCAACCCCCAAGACTCAGAACTCTAACCTCTAATCATAAAACTGATATTACAGGAAGCTATAGGCCTTGTCTGATCTGATCCTTCCAAAAACAAACCTTTGAAGTGCCTTATCTCCATTTTACGAAGAAATCTTAGGCTCAGAAAGATTCGGCTTCTTACCCACTGTCTAAGTATCTGAATCAAGTTTCAAACCCCAGCCTTCTGAATGGAAGTGCAGTAGTCTTTCTACTATTCCCTGGTGCTTCTGATAAAAGCACAAAGAGATTGGGGAGACTGGGGGGTGCGGTGTCATCATGGAAGACCTAGATCCAACCCCCGTTTACCCATTCAGGCAGACTAAAACTGTAGGTGGGTGGGCTTATGATTGTTTAGCGGTATGAAGCATTTTTAAAAAATCTTCTCAAGGTCTAAAGTTGAAGTCCCAGGGGTGGGAAGAAGAGGGGTTTGGAATTTGGCTGTTATAAAAGGATTAGACATTCAGGCCTGGCCTTGTCTGGTCCGTTTCAGTTATATAGTCTCTGAAATATAGCCTTTTCCTGTTTAGCTTTTGGCATAAGACCAATCTGAGTTTGGTAGCCTGCTTTTGAGATCCACTTCAAATCCCCTTGCCCAAGTCTCCTATCCCCAGGATCGTAATATCCCTCCCCCTCCCAACCTGTTGTGGCTCAAATGAGATAATAGATGAAAAGCACTTTGTGAATCTTCAAGTGCTATGTAAATGCAAGGTATTATTATTGTTCATTATAATTATTTCCTTATTTTCATTAGCCTCAAATCTAGTGTTGACTTTATTCTCTGAGCCTTCTACTGCATTCCTGCTGAGCTCAAGCTTGTTTATAGAGCAATACAGAAGTGTGCTGGTAAATATTTAACAACCAGGCTAGGGGGAGAGGGAAAAGGGGAAAACACAGGTTATGGAAGAATAGTGCTTTCAGATTTATAAAATTTTTCTCACTACAACACCTAGACAAGAGTAGTGCATAATACGGCTATCATCATTTTACAGCTGAGGAAAGTAGGCCTCAGAAGAGGAAAATGACTTGCCCAGACTCATGTAGCCAATAGTTGTTAAGGTCAGCATCTTAACCTAGGGCTTCTGACTCCAAGTCTAGTATTTTTTCCACTGAGAACATCTAATAACATTCACCCTCAGGAACCTTTTTTGGGCAGTTTTAGCAGCTTCTATATACGTGTGCATGGGTGTGTACCCTCCCATACAAGCACGCATATGGCTCAAGTGCACATACACACACACACACACATATGCAGGTAAAACACACAGAGATACACCCACAGCCATTTACATATCCACACACATCCTAATACCACTATCAGGCTATATCCCACTTCCGGGCTTAACACTCCCACCTCCATTCCTAATCTTTCCTTGAAGATTTTGTTCACCTGCTGAGTCCCAGCTCTGCATTTACTAGCTGGGGTCTGTAAGTGACTTCCCTTCTCTAATTATATATAACTATCCCCCTGGAAAACAAGAGAGTTTGGCTAGGTGACATCTAAGGTTCTTTTGGCTCTAACAATCTATGGCTCTGTCTTCACCCAGACTCCCCTCCACCTCCCCAGCTGTCCCTATAGAAAGGCCCCAATCATGGGGTAATAGCACCCACCCCAGGTAGATGATAGCCCTCCTCTTCTGGGTGAGAGTCCCTTGGTTGAAGGCCTTAAAGCTGTCCCACCCTCCACCCCACCTTAAGGCTATTCTCAGAGTGTAGTGATAAGAAAAGGGAGGTCTGGGAAACATAACTGAAAATGAAGGTACAGCTCTAGGTTCCATTTCCTCCTTCAGCTGCCGGCCTGAGGTGGGGGTGGGGTGAGGCCAGGAGGAATCAGAGGACCCCTGCACAACCAGGAAGGCTGGAACTGCTCCCAGTGTGGGGAGTGCTTGCTGCATTCAGGGTTATCCAGCCTCACTTCATTCTCCATGCAGAAGGACCTTTCTTTTCCTACAGAGGAAATCCTCTCCTGTTGCTTGGGACCCTTAGGTCACTTCCCAGGACACACCTGGACCTCCCTCAAAGAAAGTCTTTCTCCCTGTTGAATCTCCATCCCTCCCAGGACACACCTGGACCTCCCTCAAAGAAAGTCTTTCTCCCTGTTGAATCTCCATCCCTCTTACTGCAGTCTCAGTCCATAATTATAACTCATCATGCATTGCTTTGTATAGTTTTCAATAAGATCTCATTCATGCCCTTAGCTAAGAGACATTGCGGTATAGTTAGTGTAAAGATTACTGGTTTTGGAGTCAGAGAACCTGGGGTCAAATCCTGGCTCTGCTTCTTACTGGCCCATCCCTCTACCACTCTGGGCCTCAGTTTCCTCATCTATAAATTGTTGGGATTGGAATAGGTAGTTGGTAAAGTCCTTTCCAGATCTCTCTCCTATGACTTAACAACTCTGTGAGGCAGTTGGAGTATTGTCTCCATTTTAACAGATGATGGCAGGGAGGCCAAGAGATAATGACAAAGCTGGTCAGTCAGTCAACAATCAATCAATCAGTCAACCATTAAACATTTATTAGGGCTTACTATAAACCAGACACAGTGCTACATGCAGGGGATACAAAGAGAGGGAAAAGACAGTCTCTGCCCTCAAGGAATTTACAATCTAATTGGAGAGATAACAAGCTAACAAGTATATACAAAGGCAGCTATTGTTGGAGCTATATATATAAGATAAAAAGGGAATAATTAACTGATGGGGAAAGCACTGGAATTAAGAAGAGTTGGGGAAGACTTCCAGTAGAGGGTGGGATTTTAGTTGAGACTTAAGGGGAAACAAGCATTTATTAAGGGCCTACTATGTGCTAGAGTTATTGAATGACTAGCCAGGGTAAGAATCCTAGTCTCCACTGTACCATCTTGTTGTCATTGTTGTTCAGTTGTTTTCAGTCATGTCTGACTCTTTGTGACCCCATTTGAGGTTTTCTTGGAAGAGATACTGGAGTGGTTTGCCATTTCCTCCTCCAGCACATTTTACAGATGAGGAAACTGAAGCAAACAAGGTTAAGTGACTTGCCCAGGGTCACACAGCTAATAAGTGTCTGAGGCCAGATTTGAACTGAGGAAGTTGAGTCTTCCTGACTCTGGGTCCAGCACACTCTATCCACTGAACGACCTAGCTGTGCATTGATTCCATTGATATACCATAAATATTGTCTAGCCATTTCCCAATAGGTGGGCACCCCCCTTTATTTCCATTTATTTGTTGCTGTAATAAGGACAACTATAAAAAATTCTGTATATACGAGTCCTCTTTCTTTATTATATTTTGTTGGGTCATAGACCTGGTATCCTAGATCCTAATGCATTAGAGGGTAGTCATAGGTTAGTGACTTTTCAGACGCCATTCCAACTTGCTTTCCAGACTCGCTGGACCAACTCATAGTTGCACCAACAATATATCAAGGTGCCTGTTTTTTGTTGTTGTTTGTTTGTTTTGAGGCAATGGGGTTAAATAATGAAATGAAAGCAGCTCAGAGGTTCTACCTCAGTCCAATCAGATTGTCAAGGATGACAAAAGAGGAAAACAACAAATGTTGGAGGGGCTGATAGGAAAAAGAAGTACCCTAGGGGCAGCTACATGGTACAGTGGATAGTTCATTGGCCCTGGAGTCAGAAGGACCTAAGTTCAAAACCGGCCTCAGATATTTGACACTAGCTGTATGACCCGGGGCAAGTCTGATTGGACTGAGGTAGAACCTCTGAGCTGCTTTCATTTCATTATATGGGATATCAAATATTGGGGCATTTTATCATATGGTTGTTAACTGCTTGGATTTCTTCCTTTGTAAAATGTTCATTCACATCCTTTGATCAGTTTCTATAGAGGAATGGCTTTCGACCTTGAGCCTTTGACAAGTGAGAACTGGGATAGTTTCTGAATTGGGAGGGGATGGCAAGTTAGAATCTGGGCTAGGGACTTCAGGTTACAACATGCTCCACCACTCTTGTTCCCTTCGACCCCCTAGCCAGCCGGGGTCACACTGTTTCACTTCTCTCTCCCTTAGCAAGGGCCACCCCCCTTTCCTCTCGTCTCTTTTCAGAAGTAAAGAAGCTATTTCTAAAGGAGAGAGAAGTCAGGGGAGGGCATCCAGAGAAGGGTACACCTTAACTCTCAGCAGCCAGGTGGCTGAGGTGAGCTAGGAGTAGGACCAGGTATGGTTTCCTTTCAAGACTCATACTTCTGACGTTGGCTACCTATCTTGGGCAAATCACTTCAACTCCCTAAGTTCCTCCAATTGTAAAATGAAGATGGACCCTGAGGTGCATGTCCAGATTTAGGATCTTAGGGTCCTCTGACCTGGAAGGTCCCCAGAAGGCCCAGCCCCTGGTTTCTCACCCTACTTTATAGGATCATATGATTGAAAGCTGGAAGAGACTTTAGCGGTCATGAAATCCAACATCCTCTTTTTCCACGTGAGGAAATGGAGGCCTAAAGAGCTTTCTCAAGATCACCCAGGTAGTAACTAGCAGTTGAGATTTAAACCCAGGTCCTTTGCTATTTTCATTGCATATAAAAGGGATTGAAGGGAAAGTCGGAAGATCTTGTGGTGTGACTTTGGTCAAATCACTTCCCTGCCTCTCTGGGCCTCAGTTTCCTTTCTTATCAAATGAAGAATTAGACTAGATGGTCTGTAGGGTTTTTCTCACTCTAATGTTCGTTCGCAATGAGTGGGAGTGGGCATAGCTGGCCCCAGGCCTACCTCGGACTCCAGTGACCTTGTCCATCCTAGGAATGTGGCTACAGCGCCTTCCCCCACCCCCAAGTGCTTTCGTGACTCCTCTGCGCTCTATCCAGACCCCAATCTAAACAATCTTGATTCCTGTTCCCAGTCTGGCGGGACGGTGAATGGCAGGAAGTGGAGACGGTCGCCTGTTTATGCTTCGGGCCGCCAGGGCTGGGAGTGGTGGGGAAGAAGGTGGTACTGGGGCAGGGGGAAAGCAAGGGTAGATGACCAGGCAAGGGGCAAAGGAAAGGGGCCGAAAAGGGATGCTTGAAAAGCAGTAAGGGAATCAGGCAGGGTAAACAGGGGAGTAGGAACACAGGACAGGAGAAAAGTGGGGCCAAGGAGAACCAGGAAAAGACTTTTGTACACCCCGGAATGCACTGATTCGCAATCTTACCAGGCTCTGCTGTAGACTCAGTGACCGGGGCACAAGAGGATCGGGTGCTTTCATAACCCTGAATCACTGATACTCCATCTCCTCTCCCCTTACCCCTCCCCCTACACACACCCTTTACTTCTCCGGGCGGTTTGGTTTCCACTGGGGAAGTTGGCCCGGACTTCCCTTACAAAGCCACTCCCCAGAGTGAGTTACATGGGAAGGGAGGAGGACACCCCCCTCCATGCAAAAAAAAAAAACCCAAAAACAAAACCCAACAAAACTCAACACTCAACACTCACAAGTCCCAGGGATTCTGAGTGGAAAGGGCATTTTAGGGAGCTACATGTAGGACTGGATATAGGGTCAGTGTCTGAGGCTCCCGGAGGAGATCTCACCACCCTTCTTTCCTATTCCCCCTCTAGGAGGACTCCCTGAGTCCCTCTGGGATGGACGGACTCGTGCTGCTGCTGGCTCTGGGCCTGGCTGATGGTGAGTTGTTAGGAGGTGGGGGAGTAGGACCTTGAAACCCGTCCAGGCCTGGGGCAGAGAGGAGGACTGGAGAGAGGGGCTGGGAGCTTCTAAAGGGAGATAGGGATGCTGCTCCAGCTTTGTTTTGGTGTCTGGGCTGGATTTGGGGGATTAAGGGCGGGGAAGAAAGAACCTCTTGTAGGAATTATGAAGGGGTAGCCAAAAAAGGAGGGACAGGTGGACAGGTGACTGAGAGAGGAGAGAAAAAGGATGAATGATAAAGCAGAGGTATAAAGAAATGCCCAAAAATGCCTGAGAAAGAAAAGGAGATAGTCCTCACAGCTGAACCCCAGGCCACCCTTTCGTTAGTTTCTAATAAACCATCGGATCCAGTGAAATTAATAATATCTCTCTCTTATAGCCGTCACCGGCCTCACCTGGGCTAAGGCAGGGTTGTGACTAAGGGTGCTAATAACCTTTGTAAACTTAGAATTCAAGGCAGAAGGGAGCTTAAAGACCATCCAGTCATAGAATCACAGAATTTTAGGTCTCAAAGATATTGGCTGGTTAAGTCTCTCATTTTTTAGCTAATAATAACAGCTCATATGAGAGTCCAAAAGACCTGGGTTCAAGTCCTACTTCTAACACACGCTTACTGTGTGACCCTGGGCATCTCGTGAAATCTCAAGGTGCTCCCAGATAACTCTTTAAGGCTCAAAATTGAAGAACAGGTATAGGTCTGCATGGGTAGAACCAGTTTCCTCACTGGATTGCCTTTTGCCGATGAAATCAAAGGTCTCCTCCACCAAAAACAACTCACATTTTTATGGAGCTTTAAGGTTTGAAAAACACTTTCCTCACAACACCACAATATCTCTTTGAAGTAGTTAGTGCAAATATTATTTATCCCGTTTTACAGATTAACGAAGTCAAGGCTCATAGTAGGGAGGTCACATAGCAACAGAGGCAGGATTAGAACCCGGGTCTCCTGCCTCCGAGGTCTCTACTCACTTTACAATCTTGCTGCCTGGCTGAGCTTGTATCTTGTTTGTTGTGTCTTTCTTTCTTTTGTTTTTTTAAGGCGATTGGGGTTAAGTGACTTGCCCAGGGTCACACAGCTAGTAAGTGTCAAGTGTTTGATTTGAGGCCAGATTTAAACTCAGGTCCTCCTGACTTCAGGGCCGGTGCTCCGTCCACTGCACTACCTAGCTGCCCTGTTGTGTCTTTCTATAATCTGTACATTTTGATTTTTACTGTTTCTCAATTTGATTCTGAGAGGAAGTATTTTTGTTCCTTGCCGTGCCAAGCCCTGGAGGTAATTTTAGATACCCTAGTGGCCAGAAAAGGGCTAGAATCGGTTACCAGAGACTCCAGTGAAGGAGGGGGCTTGAGGTTTATTAGATACTGAGTAAACCATCACAAAGAGTAGCCTGGGGCTCAGTTGTGAGTACAGGACCACATTCCCTCTAGATCCATCTTTACAATTAGAAATAAAATCGGTGGGAGAGATGGTGGTGGAGGAGACCTGACAGAGGGAGTAGATGAGAGGGGTAGCAGTGGAGGAGGCTTGGAATAGAATAAATGAGTGAATGAAATGTATAGGAAATGGTGGAGTAGCAGAATATGAGGAAATGAGTAGACAAGAAGGAAATAATGGAAGCCAAGGGCACAAATGTGGGAAAGAAGTAAGAGTAAGGCTATGGCCCTCTCTCAGGATTCCTCACCCTTTTCTGCTTGCCACTTAATCCAGACTTAATCCCATGGTAGGGGGCTGCAGTGGCAAAGTTGTTTGGTCTAATTGTTGTGAACAGCTTTTTTTTTTCTTTTGTGAGGCAATTGGGGTGAAGTGACTTACCCAGAGTCACACAGCTAGTGAGTGTTATGTGTCTGAGGCCAGATTTGAACTCAGGTCCTCCTGACTCCAGGACTGGTACTCTATCCACTGTGCCACCTAGCTTCCCCTGGGAACATCTTTAATCACAGCTCTTGGTCTCTTGTTTGGGACTTCTGGGGAAAGAGTGTCAAGAAGGGGTGAGTTATGAGAGCTCTGAAGGCCTGGGTGGGACCAGCAGAGCTTGGTGGTGGTGGTAGTAGTGAAGCAAAGGTGCCATTCATTCCTTTCTCTCCTTCCCCTACCCTCTCCAGGATTGTGCTGGGAATATTAAGCTAAATGTAATGGAGTTGGTTGGTAAGTGGGGATAGGAGAAACCCTTAAAAGCCTAAGGTAGGAGCTAAATTGATAAAAGCCAGAGACTCAGAACAGTGACTGACTCGGAGACTTGAGGGCATCCATGATACAATAGAAAGAATGTGGGAGCTGGAGTTAGAGGATCTGGGTGCAAATCTTGACTCAACCACTCTGTTCTTGTGGCTGGGTGAGTCAGTCTGCTTCTTTGGGCCTCATTTCTCTCTTCTGTATAATGGGGGTCGGTAAGGCTATATTGCCTTCCAAGGTCCTTTCAAGCTATAAATGCATGGATATATGAAATGGCCTATCTTGGGGCTACAAGTCAAGGATACAAGGTGTATTGCTAGAAATGCATTACAATAGGGCAGCCCTTGTTGGAGCTGTTGGCTCTGAGCCCCTCTGCTATGGGAGCCTGGGTACAGTTTCAAGGGTGTGTGTCTTGGAGTCTCCCATGTTGGGAGTTGAGATTCCAAGTCCCTGAGTTGGCCTTTCTGTCTTTCTGTCTGTCAGGTGGTTCTGCACTGTCCTCAACCAACTCACTCTTGACCTGTGCCTGCGAGAACTTCGACTGCAAGGGGTCTTCAACCTGTCGGGGGTCTTGGTGCACTGTATGGCTGATAAAGGAGCTGGGGGAACAACCCCGGGAGATTCGGGGCTGCAGTAACCACCACCACCACGAGACGTGCCTGGGACTGCCCACTGAGGCCTTTGCCCAGTACTGCTGCTACCAGCCTCTCTGCAACCTCAACATCTCCCTGAAGCTAGCAAGTGCGGGTCTCTTCTGCCCACAACCCTGGGCATTAATGCCCTTCCCACCCAGCTAGCATCTCTGTTCCCCCTGACCTGCTTGCCCCTGCATATACCACACTCTGTCCATCCTTGTAACTCAGTCTTGAGCTTCTGGCCTATTCAGTCCTGATCCACCAGTCCAAAAACTCCCACCTTCACTGGTTTCTAAGGGTCCCCTGGGAGAGGGAAGGAGGTAGGTCACCCACCCTAGTTCTCCCTCCATCTTGGGCTGGGGATCAGGTGTATTTCCCTTCCTAAGAGATAAAATAAGTCTTACAATCCAGTTTATCTACGTCCGATTTGGGCTTCCCAGAGCCCAGCGGACAGAGGATCAGAATGGAGTAGGGTCTCGACTGGTCCCCTGGGGAATGAGTTCCTTACAGAAAGTGGATCTCAGTTATTTCTCCACTTCCACCAGCCCCACCAGAGGATCCCCATCGAACTAACCATCTGCCACTGATCTTGGGCCCTGGGATAGCTGTGCTGGTCCTCCTGGGGCTGGGGGCCCTGGGCCTTTGGCACCTCCGTCGGAGGCGTGAGAAACAGAGAGCCTTGCACAGTGACCTGGGAGAATCCAGCCTCATCCTGAAGGCATCGGAGCTGGGGGACAGCACACTGGGGGTGAGGGCCTCAGAGTTTCAGGGACGTGCAGAGAAGGGGAGAGGGTGTCAGTGAAGGAAGCACAGAGATAGCGAGACAAGAAGAAAGAAGCAGAGAAAGAAGCGGTTGGAGATACTGACAAAGCAAGAAAGAGGCAGAGGACGCAGAGAGATTGACAAAGAGAGGGAGAGGGTGAGATAAGAATCCCACAGATGCAAAGACAGATAGAGAAGGGGGGAAAGACAATCAGACATACAGAGAGACAGAGAGCTATGTGCTTTCCAGCCCATCAGGAGCCCAAACTTGGCTGGAGACTCCTAGAAAAGGAAAAAGGTGGGAAGGCAGGGAAGCTCTCCTCTTACACTTTTTCCTTGATGACCCCAGGACCTTTTGGACAGTGACTGTACCACAGGCAGTGGTTCTGGCCTCCCCTTCCTGGTCCAGAGGACAGTGGCTCGGCAGATTGCTCTGGTGGAGTGTGTGGGTGAGCTGGGGAGAGGGGAAGGAATTAAATAAGGACTTATGTTCATGGGGGCAGGAAATAAGGGAAAGGCTGCCCTGTATTTTAGGTGGGAAAGAGAGAAAAGTGAGAGAGGGGCCATCCTATGGAGAGAGGGAGGAACAAAAGAGGTCACCCTGTGTGGGGGTGGGGTAGGAAGAGGAGAAATAGAGAAAGAGAAAGGGTAAGGGGAAAGGAGGGAAGTAAGAGAGGGGGTCATCCTTTGGGGAGAGGGGAGGTAAGGGGCCATCTTATACGTTGCAGGAAAGAAGGGAGGCAAGAGAGGGGCCACCTTGTGGGTGTTGGGGGGAGCAGGATGAGGAGATTAAGAGGCTAGGGATAGACTCTGAGATTGGTTTAAGATCTGAAATATAGCCGGAGTTGGGTCATGTAGATGGTCAGAGTTGGGACACTGGATAGGCATCTGGGTAAGGGTCTGTGCAAGGGAGGGGCTGCCCTATGTCTGAGACTCTCCCATCCCACCCTTCCTCTCACCTCTCCCACAGGCAAGGGCCGCTATGGTGAAGTGTGGAGGGGCCTGTGGCATGGTGAGAGTGTGGCTGTCAAAATCTTCTCCTCTAGGGACGAGCAGTCCTGGTTCCGGGAGACTGAAATCTACAACACAGTGCTACTCAGACATGACAATGTTCTTGGTGAGCAGACTGGGCCAGCCCTAGCACCACCTCCTCAACACACACACACACACACACACACAATATACACATGTGCACACACGTGCACACATACACATGGGCACACACACATACACATTGCATCTATAATGGAGCAGAAAAAACACTACCCAGTCTTGGAAGAGCTGAGCTCTGATGCCATCTGTTTGTTGTGGTTGTTCAGTTGTTTTTCAGTCATGTCTGACTCCTCATGACCCCATTTGGGGTTTTCTTGGCAAAGATACTGGAGTGGTTTGCCACGTTCTTCTCTAGGTCATTTTTACAGATGAGGAAACTGAGGCAAACACGGTTAAATGACTTGCCCAGAGCCACACAGCTAGTAAGTTCTGAGGCCATATTTGAACTCCAGAAGATGAATCTTCCTGACTTGAGGCCCAGCACTCTATCCACTGCAACACGTAGCTGCCCTTAGCTGTTTGTAACTCTGGGCAAAATACTTAACTCTCTAGACCTAGTTCCATCATGCGTACGGTAGAGATAAATCCTTGCACTGCTCACCTGTAAGGGCTGTTGTGAGGATGCCACTTTGGCAGTCTTGAGTACCATAGACATGTGGGTGATTAGCGTTAGGAACCCCATAAAGGTCAACCACCCGCTTGCTTTGAATCTCGAGGTAGAAGAGGTAACCTCCAAAGCCTAACCCCGTCCTCATCACTGCTCAGTTGTGACACTGACTCCCCTCTGCCCCCTAGGCTTCATTGCTTCTGACATGACATCCCGCAACTCCAGCACCCAGCTGTGGCTGATCACCCACTACCATGAGCACGGCTCCTTGTACGACTTCCTGCAGCGGCAGCCGCTGGACCGAGGGCTGGCCCTGAGGCTGGCCCACTCCATTGCCTGCGGCCTGGCCCACCTTCACGTAGAGATCTTTGGAACCCAGGGCAAGCCAGCCATCGCCCACCGGGACCTGAAGAGCCGCAACGTCCTGGTCAAGAGCAACCTCCAGTGTTGCATAGCGGACCTGGGTGAGGAGTCTGTGGGAATGAGACCAGGCTGCTGATGGGTCGGTGAAGGGGCTGGGCCTGGCCCACTCCCGGGAGGGGAGGGCTGGCCCCAGTAATTTGGGTCTGGGTTGTCCTGCAGAAAGGGAGACAGGCAAGCGAAAGGAGGGGTTCTCTCTGCCTCTTTTCTGTTTGTTTCTGCCTCTTCTGTGATTCAGTCCCTGCGTGTCTCAGCCTTTCGTAGTCTGCAGAGGCAGTCAGCCTCATTAGGAGCTCAGGCTAAGAGTCACGAGACCTGGATTCTAGTCCCATTTTTGGCATGTACTAGTGCTGGGCAAGTTGTTTAACTGCTCTGGGCTTAGTTTCCTCATCTGCCAGATGGTCACGATGATGCCGGGGTTATTGTATGGGAAATGCTTCATAACACCTTACGTGCTTTAGAAACCTGGGTGTTTACCATATGGCAGACATTGGGCTGGGACATGGGAATACAAAGGCCAGGAGCTGTATTATCTCGTGGGATTCTGTGGGATAATCTCAGTTAAAGTCACTTTGAAAAGTTGTAAGAGTGAGATGTTATCATTCTCCCTTCTCTTCCTGTGTGTCTCTGTGTGAGTGTGGGTTTGTGTGATTCCATCTTCATTTCTCAGTTTTTATCTCTATTTTTTTCTCTCTGACCTTCCCTCTTCTCCCCTGTCTTCTCCCCGATTTTCCCTTCTGGGCCCTAGGCCTTGGGGAATGCTCTGACAAGGAGAAACTCTGGGTGGCACATTGGGGTCATGGGACCCAGAGCCCCAGATCATGAGGCACTGGTACCCACAGGCCTGGCAGTAATGCACTCCCAAGGTAGTGATTCCCTGGACATTGGCAACAACCCTCGGGTGGGCACCAAGAGGTACATGGCGCCAGAAGTATTGGATGAGCAGGTTCGCACTGACTGCTTTGAATCCTACAAGTGGACAGACATCTGGGCCTTCGGTCTGGTGCTGTGGGAGATAGCACGCCGGACCATAGTGAATGGTGAGTGATATTTTGTTTTACCTTGACCAGGGCATCCTTCTCCCTGGCCTACTGATGGACTGATGGACTGACTTCCCTTCTTAGTGTCCAGCTTAATCTTCAGTGCCAGAGGATGGAGGGATTGGCAGGTGGGATACAGTTTCAGTGGAATGATATCTATGTGGGGTGTCTGTGGTGCTGCTTTGGAAAAAGCACCGGCTCTTGGCAGAGAGAAAGTAGATTATAAATGCAAAATGTCAGATATGGCCAATGTATTGATTTGGTCTTCATTTCTTTATTACAAGAGTGACAGCTATCTATGAAAAAGAGAATCAAAGGAACATTTTCTTAAAAAGGAGCTTAGACTTCTGAAGTCTGAAGATCTGGGTTGAATCCAGGCTAAGCTTAGGTGATTACTACCTGTGCAGTTTTGGCTAAATCACTTAACCACTCCCACTTTGGCTATTACACTGGTACTGTCTGTTACAGGGTTCTTGTGAAGAAATCAATTTGTAAATCTTTAAAGTGCTATAGAAATGTGAGCTATTATTATTCCTATCATTTTCATCCCCCTTTTTTATGGGGCCCAGATGGAAACAGTCCTAGGACTCTTGCTATCCTACTTTATAGTTAATGTTCTACATGACTCAAGGGAACTTTCTGGAGCTGAGTAAAAGTATTCAGATATTAGTTCATCCTTTGTAAGCTAACGGAAAGCATCATCCCAGTAGCAGAGAAGATGATAGGGATGGTGCACCTACATGATGTTATCTCTTCTGTTAGGCCTCTACAGTTATCCCTTCCACATCGTGACTTTCCCCATCATGGTTTGTAAACACCTCATAAAAGAAAAAGAAAAAAAAAATTCAGACTTCTTCTCTGATATGGAGAGCCAAAAAATTTTATACAGATTTTCTAGATTGAGGGGGTGCTGCGCCCTCTAGCCCCCACAATGTGGAAAGGATAACTGTACATTGTAAAAGCTTTTTATTTAGGGAAGTTTGGAGAGTTAGGACAGAGATATCTAGTAAAATGTCGTTCTTAGGTTTGTTTTTTTTTTCATGGATCAATGGTATGTCTAGGCAATTGTGGGCAATAGTTTGGTTTGTGGTAATGGTCCCAGATTGGTCCAGTTTCTTAGTTGAATTCTCCAGAATATTTTGGAGTCTGTATTTATAGAATATGGATTCATCATCTGAAAGCCCATTAAAGACAGCAAGTTGATGTATAATTCTAGCCACCAAGTTCTCTTACTAGGTATTCAATAGGTGCTAAACTGTTTGTCTGCAGTGATGTGTTGCATAGTTTCTACTATTACCTTAAATGATACTACTATTAGTGAGAGGCAATGTGGCATATTGGATAGAAAACTTCTTCTTGAGGCTAAGAAGACCTGGGTTCAGGTCCTGCCTCTGATACATACAAGCTGTGTGACCCTGGGCAAGTCATTTAACATTTGCCTTTACAAATTGTGGAGAAGGTGCTGACCAGCATTGGTAGGGGGAGTTTCTTCTCTGGAAGTTTCCTATACTAATAAAATTATAGGTCTAGTCCTCTTCTCATTATTATCATCATTATTATCATGACTTCCTTTTTTTTTTTTTTTGAGGCAATTGGGGTTAAGTGACTTGCCCAGGGTCACACAGCTAGTGTCTGAGGCCAGATTTGAACTCAGGTCCTCCTGACTCCAGGGCTGGTGCTCTATCCATTGAGACATGTAGCTGCCCATGTTGAGACTTCTTTTTTTGGTGAGGCAATTGGGGTTAAATGACTTGCCCAAGGTCACACAGCTAGTAAGTGTCAAATGTTTGGTCTGAGGCTGAATGTGAACTCAGGTCCTCCTGACTTCAGGGCCAGTGCTCTATCCACTGCGCCACCTAGCTGCCCCTCATGTTGAGACTTCTTAAGAGATATTCAAGCTGACTTGCTGATGGGTTTTGGCACCTGGTTGCGTCTACCTTGGTCATGAGTCATCTATGGCCATTGTTGTCTGAGTTCATGAAAACACATATTCCTCTAGATGTCCACGGGCAACTAGATAAATAGACAATAGTAATAATATTGATGATAGTGCCTCAAATTTCTATAGTTTTTTGAGTTTTACAAAGTGCTTTTCTCACAATGACACTGTGAAGTAACTTGGAAAAGCATTATCCCCTTTTTAATAATAGCCAACATTTATATAGCACTTTGCAAGTATTAACTCGTCCTCATAATCACCCTGGGAGGTAGGTGATTTATTATACTCGTTTTAAAGTTGAGAAACTGAGTTAAATAGAAGTTAAGTGACTTGCCCAGGGTCACATAACTAGCATCTGAGACTGGATTTAAACTCAGTTCTTTCTCACTCAAAGGCCAGTGCTCTATCCACTGTGCCACATGACTGCCATCTTTATAGATGATAAAGCTGTCAGAGACAAGCTATTACTTGTCTATAGTAACAGAACTACTGAATAGCAGAGCCTGGATTCAACTAAGTTTTTTTTTTGCCTCAAAGTCCAATTATCTTTCCATTTCTCCACCAAGATGAACACCGGAGTCGAATGGTCTTGGGAATTACTATTGAGTGGGGGTCTATAGTGTGGGCCTATTAGGAAGTCCTTCTCTCACTGGTATCCCAACGGTCCCAGGATACTTTGCAAATGGGAGGGGTAGCTCCACACTCACCTTAGTGGCTGACGTCTCTCTTAGGGGAAGCATTAGGACTCATGAGATCGGAGGATTTAGAGCTGAAAGGGAATTTAGAAAACAGACCCAACCCTGTATTTTACAAATGAGGAAATTGGAACCCAGGCAGGTTAAAGACTTCAGCACAGTTGCACAGGTCAAACCCAGGCCCTCTGACTCCATTTCCAGTGCTCTTGATACAGCTCTGGTCTGTCTCTTCTGAGTGCCTCCCGAGGATTCACCTGGGATGACTGAAGAGGCTTCTAGGTGGGTGGAAGGAATCAGGGGAGACTCCCTTCCCCAAGACAGAAGCAGGTGAGGGCCTAGAATCCTCAGCCAGCAGAAGGAGTAGAGAAGCCAACTGCTCCTCAGGGCAAGGCAAAGCAAGCTCGTTCAGCTTCACACAGACAGTGTTCATTATAAACACTGTAATCTGGTGTCAGCCCCGGCTCTGATTAAAGGCCCATTAGACATGCTCGGGCCTCGGTGCGGTGCTGATTAGGACACGCAAGCCAGGAGGGGCCTGGTTGGAAGGCAGCCACCTCCAGCGCAGCTGGAGCATGGCCCTAATGGGGATGTGGCCTCTGTGTTCTCGGTCACTGGCTCAGTGCCTGTGATCCAAGAGCTTAGAAGACGGGGTAGGAAGACTGGCTATCTCTACGCCTAGAGCTCCTTCCAGTTTGACCGAAGATTTCCTAAGAGCCCTCTGTGGCTCTATGGGAAGCATTTTCCTTCTTTCATTTTTTTAAAACATGTTTTATTTAGATGCCTTTTGTTTTCATATCACAATCCTTCTTGATATAACCCCAGACATCCCTACCCGAATTGAACTGGACCTTGTAAACACACACATATACTCCCCTACCCCCACCCCACCCTCCACACACAAAATTAAGCAGGAGACCCACTGATGTAGCAACGGCATTGGCCAGAGTATGCACTGTTCCATATCTGTAGTCCTCCACCTCTCATCAGAGAGGAGAGAATCATATTCTTCATCTGTTCCCCAGTTAGTCTGAGTTGGGCTGCCTTTTAATGTCATAATCATCATGTATATAATTTCCTAATTCTGCTTATTTCACCTTGCATCGGGGCTATATTTTCAAATGACTCCATTCCTTGGGCTATGTATCAGGGGAAGATTCCTTTCTTAAATCTACAAGTACAAATCAAACACTTACTGTGTGCCAGACACTATGCTAAGCACTAGGTGGGGGGGATAAGGTTCTTGCCCTCAAGGAGCTTACACTCTAATGGAAAAGGCAACATGTAAATAAATAGATACATACCAGATATAGCCAGAAGAGAGGGGAAGGCTTAAGTGGCTGGGGCAGGGGGGGACCCCCAAAGGCCTCCTGCAGGAGATAGCATGTGAGCTGAATCTTGACAGAAGCCAAAAATGTCAATAAGCAGAGATTAAGAGAGAGAGCATTCCAGACAGGGGCAACAGCCAGTGCCAAGTGGCAGAGATGTAGCGTTGTATACTGGGAGCAGCAGGTCAGCTTAACCCTCTGGGGTTATCTTCCCTTCTGCTCTCGTACGTATCTTGTAGGAACCTATTTATTTTCATGAGGCCGGGGACTCTTGTTGTGGTTTTGCCTTTCTTTGTATCCCTCAGCCCATGGTACATAGTAAGCAATTAAATGCATGCTTATTGATTGGTTGATTTCTTAAAAAGTGGTTTTTATTTTTTTTTATTTTTTTTAAAATATGCCACTAATAAAGATGAAATTAAAGCAATTGTAAGAGTTATTTTGCCCAATTGTATTCGAATAAATTTAACAATTTAAGTGAAATGGAAGAATATTTACAAAAATATAAATTGCCTAGATTAGCGGAAGAGGAAATAGAATATCTAAATTGACCTGTTTTAGAAAAAGAAATTGAACAGGCCATAAATGAGCTTCCTAAGAGAAAAGCACCAGGACCAGATGGAATTACAAGTGAATTCTGTCAAACACTTAAAGATCAACTAATTCCAATAGTAAATAAATTATTTGGAATAATAGATAAAGAAGGGATCCTGACAAATTCCTTTTATGAAACAAATATGATAATGATTCCTAAACCGATTCCTAAAAGGAAGAGTAAAAACAGAGATTTGTTTAAAAAAAAAAAAGTGGTTTTCCCTATTCTATGGTATCACGACTAGACCAAAAAGTGCATGGAGGTAAGTAAAGGGTGAGAAGATTGACACAGGAGGAGGGGCCAGGCTGTGAATAACATTCAATGCCAAACAGTCTTCATATTGATTCCAAAGTTAATAGGGAGCGTGGTCAGACACCTAAGCAACTGTGTGGAGGGTGGATCAGAGTATGTATGGTTGTTGTAGTTCAGTTGTGTCTCATACTCTTCATAACCCCTTTTGAGGTTTTCTTGGCAAAGAGACTGGAGTGGTGTGCCATTTCCTTCTCCAGCTCATTTTACAGATGAGGAAACTGAGGCAAACAGGGTTAAGTGACTTGCCCAGGGTCACACAGCTTGTAAGTGTCTGAGGCCAGATTTGAACTCAGGAAGATGAGTCTTGCTGACTCCAGGCCTAGCAATCGATTCACTGTGCCACCTAACTGCCCTAGAATGCAGGGTAGTAGAAACCAAACTGAACCAGAAGTCTGATATGAATCACGATGGCGTAAGGGAAAGAGCGCTAGATGTAGAGTCAAAGGACCAGAGTTTTAATTCTAACTCTACCTTTACTATTTGTGAGACCTTGAAGCAATTCTCTTTCCTCCCCTGAGTCTGTTTCCTTTAACTGAAAAGTAAAAATAATAATAGCTAGCATTCACATTGTGCTTTAAGGGTTGCAAAGGACTTTACAAATATTATCTCATTTGATCTTCACAACCACCCTGGGAGGCAGGTGTTATTATTATCTCCATTTTACAGATGAAGAAACTGAGGCAGGAAGCAGCTAAATGACTTGCCTAGGGTCACACAGCTACTAAGTACCTGAGGTTAGATTTAAACTCAAGTCTGCTGAACTCCACGTTCTATAGTCTATCCAATGTGCCACCTAGCTCCTGCTAAAATGCAGATAATTATGTTTATATTGCCTACCTCACATGGCTATTGTGGGGAAAGCTTTTTGGATAAGTACAAAGTACATATAAATATCAGTTTATATTTTTGTTGTGTGTGTTTTTCTTTTTTACTTTAAGGTAGGTGAATACAAGATCCCATTGTGTTTAATTTTTTTTTACATTGATTACAAAACAAAGGCATTTGACCAAGCAGAGTAAAATTCAGGCTCAAAAATTCTCCTCCAGCAAGGTGCCTGCAATCCTATCCAACAATCATTTATTAAGTACCTACTATGTGCAAGGCACTGACCAAAAAAAAAAAGTGGTTCCCTGTCCTCAAGGAGCTTCCATTCTCTGGGAAGTGTACAACATACATAATTATGTAAATTACAAGGAAAATTGAGGAGGGAGGGAGGACTGATAGTTTGGAGGATCAGTTGGCAGGTGAGATGAGCCTTGGAGGAAGACAGGTTCTGTGAAGAGGAGAGGAAAAGTCTGTCCTAGGCATGGGTAATGGCTTGTTCAAATGTATGTAGTCAGGAGATGGCATGCTGAATTCAAGGGGAACGAGGAGGGAGAGGTTATTGGGAGAAACTCCTGAAGGAAAGAGAGGTAATGTAAACTGGAAAACAGTTGGCCCTGGCCAGAAGGGCCATCCCTTCTTCAGACACAGGAGTAAAGCAAAAGAGAGGTTTTGAGGATGGAATGAAGGAGGAAAGAGGGACTCCTGGCTGATGGCCTCCATTGTTTCAGTAATGTAAGAAGCAATGAAAAGAGAGCTGGGTTTGGAGGCAGAGGACCTAGGTTTGGAATCTTGGCTCTGGCACTTTCTGCCTATGTGACCCTGGGCGAGTCACTTAACATCTGTGGTCCTCATCATAAAATGAGAAGACTGGACCAGATAACCTCCAAGGTCCTTTCCGGCTCTAAATTGACGATCCACTGATCTCATGTTCACACAGCAGTAAGTAGCACAGCCAGGATGTGAAATAAGGACCTCTTATTTTAAAAACAGTGACCCAGATTGGGGGGTCTTCCCCAGTTCTATACTCCATTTCCCACATGGGGCATGGTGTCACCAGGGTGTCTCTCCCTGCTCCCCAGGCATCGTGGAGGATTACAGACCGCCCTTCTTTGACATGGTCCCCAATGACCCCAGTTTTGAGGAAATGAAAAAGGTGGTTTGTGTCGACCAGCAGACCCCCAACATTCCCAACCGGCTGGCTGCAGATCCGGTGAGTTGGCACCTGCAGAGAGAGACAGAGGGAGGGATGGGCAGAGGAGGAGGAAGAATTCTCAACTCTGAATACTTGCAGATCCAGCTCCAGGGTTGTGAGCGGGGAGTGGGCTAGGGATGGAGTGATGCTGGACAATTCAATGGTCAGGAAGCAGGGCCAGAGGGAGCCATCCTAGACAAGTGAATCAATCCATTGGTACACATCAGGCCAAGTCAATAAGCATTTATTAACCGCCTATTATGTGCCAGGCACTGGCATGTCCATATAGCTTGAATACATATATAGGACATTGGCACATATCTCTTTGCATCTCTCCTATCTCCTATGGCAGATGTCCATTGCTGTAAAGGGAGCCCTAATTTGTCTGAGCTTCTCAGAGCCCTTCATTCTCTACAGAAGAGACGAGAAAGATTTCCCCACTATAGGGCTTTTGGATCATAGAATCTCAATGTTGGGAGGAATCTTGGACATTATCTAGTCTAACTGGCACCTGACTGGTAACCCTTTACAACATCACTGACAAGTGGTCATACAGGCTCCCAGCTTGACGACTTACAGGGAACCCATTAATTTACATAGTGCTTACTATATGCCAGGCACCATGCTAAGTGCTTTACAATTATTATCTCTCGTACCCTCACAACAACTCTGGGAGGCAGGTGCAATTATTATCCCCATTTTACAGATGAGTTGACTAAAGCAAACACAGATGAAGTGACTTGGCCAGGGTCACACAGCTAGCAAGTGTCTGAGGCCAGATTTGAGATCAGGTTGACTCCAGGCCTGGCATTCTTTCACTTTTGGATAGCTCCATACACACAGATACACAGCCCTGGGTAGGTTCTTTGGGACTAACTCCCTCTGGGCTTCCTCTGTTTCTGGGTGGGAAAGGGGTAAGTAGAGCTTGCCTAGCCTTGAATGCATAAGCTGAGTGGCCACACTACTCTTCTCTGGGATCCTAGCCCCAATATGTTTCTCAAAACAGTTGCTGACCTTTGCCCATCCCACCTCCCCACAGGCCAAGGTCTGTGGCACCAGGGGGAGGGCCAGGCTACCTCTGCCCAGCCTGGTAAGACCTTTGGTGAGCACTGCCCCCTGCTTTCCCTCCAGAATCTTATTGTGGCATCTTTGCCTGCAGGGGTCACCCTGCAAAGGACAGAATCCCCAAGAATAGGGGAGAATTGCAATGGGGAATTTTGGTTCTGATATCCTTCTTGCTTCTGTATCTCTTAGAGGGGATTGTAGAGGGAGCAGGATGCAAAGAGCATCTAGAGACAAAATCATGCTTCTCCCGTTGTCTCTCCCCTCCTCTTTCCCCCTTTCTTTCCTTCTGTGCTATTTGTGTTTTTCCTCTCTCTCTCTCTCTCCACTCAATCTGTCTCCTTCCCTTTCTTCCTCCATTTTTATTCCTCTCTACTTCTCTGTTTTTCCCCTCCTCCATTCCACACTTCCTCCCTCTCTTTACCTTTCTCTCTGTAATTTTAATCCCTATGCTTCCTATTTCCCTCTCCCGATCCCTCTTCCTCTCTCTCTCTGCCATCCAGTTCCTTTCAGGTCTGGCACAAACGATGCGAGAATGCTGGTACCCCAACCCTTCGGCCCGCCTCACAGCCCTGCGTATCAAGAAGACCCTACAGAAACTTTGTGCAAACCTAGAGAAGCCCAAAGTGATTCACTAGACGTCTGGTGCCCATACCCGGTGTGCCCTGGGGAGGGCTGTATGGAGCTGTCTGGGTTGGACCTCTCACCACTACAGAGTCTGCTTTCCTTATTATCCAGGATCTTAGGAGGAGAGGAATGGGGAGGGTGGTCCCCTGAGAGGGCAGCTACGGCTGCTGGACTCCACGCCTCCAGCCCCCAGCTCTCCCAGCCAAAAATATTGCTGGGCCTGTAATCTGATGCCAGGGCATCTAGCCCAGTCTGAAGGAACAGTCTCCCTGACGCCTGGCTTTTCCCCACCCCCAACACACCCACACTGACCCCTCCTTCCCCAGGAAGCCTAGATCCCAGCTGGCCCCAGCAGCAGGAGAATACTGCCCTAAGACGGGATCATGTGGAAGCCACCAACACCTAACCGGGTTTAGGGGTAGGGAATTCCCATTCACCCCACCACTCAATTCCCCTGGTGTACAAGTGCACTCACCAACACAGAGACAGAAACCTCATTCTGCTCTGCCTCACCTGTTGCTTGTGCTCTTTGCTATGCCCAGTCCCAGCTTCCCAGGGTCAGCAGAGAGGGTACAAGGTTCCCAAATCCCTTCCAAATGTCACCCTCCTAGATGGTAAGCCTCCTTGTGAACAGTGTGACATCATATGCCCCTGTGCCATGAGGATCTGACCCTACGCACAATGTGTACACCTGTCATCTAGCCACATCAAGGATACCCCTGCCCAATGGGTCCTGTGGACTGAACTGCAAAGTGTCCTCCCCCCTCCCCGACCCTGTGTCCTTGCTCTCCCCAGATGTCATCACTGCACACAGAATACCAATTATGTGGGAAGCCACCTACGGTCACCGAATCCTGCCCGAGTCAATTATCCTTGATCAAGGGGCAACCTCTACCCCAAACCACTTAACCTGGAATTAAACCTCAAATTTTCAAGCTTCTCCAGGGCCAGTGCTGAGCGAGATTGAGGCTGGTGTACTTGTTAGCAAATCGCAGAAAGGTGGTGATGGTATTGAAAGGTCAGAAAAGGCTAGGGCCCAGCCTGAGGGGGCTTCCAAAATACACAGAAGGCTATACTTAGAGCTTTCTGTGTCTAAGTCTAAGGCTCCACCCATCCCCAATATAAATTCATCTTCTTCCCTTGTCCCTTGCCAACACACTCCACTAATAGCTAATAGCTGGTTCTATCTGAGTCCGGGAGGGGACAAAAAAAAAAAAAAAAGAGCCTGCCCACTTTGTAATAGCCCCAGTGCAGGGGCTAACTCAGCATTTATTCCCTACCACTTGGGGTACCATCCTGGGACCTTTTAGTCCACAAGTTCACCATTGTATTTAATGCCAATAATATCCTGATATTAATCCTAATATCACCCACTGAACGTATGAAATGAAGAAATTGAACTACATAATCTCCAGGGTCCTCTCCGGTTCAAGCAATCCATGACAAGTCCCTGACCTTGAGAAGTCTCCTGCTCTGGTGTTAGTCGCTACATCCTTGGCAAGGCCCCCAAGTGTTCCACCCAAACTCTCCTTAGCTTAGAGAAAGCACGGAATCAGAGACATGAAGTCAGAAGGGACCTTCAGGGTCATCTAGTTCAAGTCTCTTATTTTCCACATGATGAAACTTTGGCTCAGCACCCCCTACTACCCTTGGCACCATGAGATGGAGTGCTACGACCTGGAAATCTGACCAGGCTGATGGGCTGGTGTGTGCGTCTGGACAGAGCCTGGGGGTGTGGGGTGAGTCGAAGATGTGGCAGTCAAACCTAGGCTCCAGAAAGTCCAGATCCAGAGTCCAGGACACATTGGCAAACATTTCCTGTGTCCTTGGAAGGTTTCCCGCATCCTTGAAAAGGTGCCTCCTTCTCTTCTCTCATGTAAAGCTGGAGGGGAACATGAAGACTGCCGATGTTCCTTGAGGAAACTCAAAGGGAAGGGAAGCAAAGGGAAGAGAAGAGAAGTCAAATCGATCCATCAGCAGGCATTTATTAAGCTTCTTCTGTGTTTCAGGCACTATGCTAGGTACCAGGAATACAAATCTAATGATTAAAATAATTCCTATTCGCAAATAGCCTACATTCTAATGGAGAAAAGAAGTACATATATAAAAAGAAGTACCAAATAAATATTTAAAAAATAAATACAAATACTAGTGACAATAGCTGGAATTTATATAGCACTTTAAGGTTTGTGAAGCACTTTACATACGTTAACTCATTTGAGCCTTGCAACAACCTTGGGAGGTAATTGTCCCCATTTTACAGATGAAGAAACCGAGGCAAGTAGAAGTCAAATGACTTGCCCATGGTCCCACAACTAATAAGTTTTTGAGACAGGATTCAAACTCAAATATCCTTGAGTTTAGAGCTCTCTCCACAGCGTCACCTACCAGTTTCAGAAGGAGGGCACTAGCCACTGGATGGATGAAAAAAGGCTTCAGGTGGAAGATGGTGCATCCTGAAGAAAGAGAGGGATTTTATAAGGAAGAGGTGAGGAGGGAATGCATTCCAGGAATGGGGGATGGCCATAGCAGAGACTAGATATGGAATGGCACGTGTATGAGGCATAGAGAGAACAGTTTGCCCGGATCACCGAGGGCAAAAGAGAAAGAGTGATGTACAATGAACGAGGCTGGAAAAATAGGTTGGGCAAGGTTGTGAAGGGCTTTAAAAGCTAAACAGAGGGACTTGTAGTTGATCCTAAAAATGATAGGGAACCAGTAGAGTTTTCTGAGTGGAAGAAGAGTGATATGGCAAGATGTATGTGTCTTAGGGGGGTGACTTTGGCAGGAGGGATCTGCCTGAGGTCGCACAGCTGGAAAGTAACCGAGATGGAAGATTAGCTCTATTTGTCCTGAATCTGATCAGGTTCACTGTCCCCGGCTCCCTTAAGCAGGCTGACTCCCTCCAGCTAGGGAACGCTTCCAATCTCCCTAGAATGGGGTTGGGTATTGCTCCCTCTTCTAACAGACCACCCTCAGACCTGTAAGTCACTGTAAGTCAGACCTGTACGACTTGGCAGTAGGTAAGGGCCAAAATTAAAATAGGCTAAACTTCTTCAGATCGCAGAAAGGTTAGACTAGAGACGGACTGACGATGGTTGGTTGCCATGGGTCACGGGAAAAACAGGAGTGTACACTGTGGCAACCCTACATTTTTCATGGGCTGCCACTGGTCGTATGTTGTACTGGCCTGCTCTAAGTGATGCAGTCTTTTTTTTTTTTTTTTTTTTTTGGTGAAGCAATTGGGGTTAAGTGACTTGCCCAGAGTCACAGAGCTATTAAGTGTTATGTGTCTGAGGCTGGATTTGAACTCAGCTCCTCCCGACTCCAGGGCTGGTGCTCCATCCACTGTGCCACCTAGCTGCCCCCACTGTAAGTCATTTTGGAGCAGGGCCAAGAATGTTGGAGTAGGAGACTCTGGCTCACATCTTGGCCTTAGCACTAACTTGCTTTGTGTCCTTGGGTAGGTCATTTGCCTTCTCTTAACCCCATTATCCTTATATATAAAATGAGTGTGTTGGACCAGGAGACTTTTAAAGTCCATTCTAGCTCTGATACTCTGTGATTTCACCATCCTATAAGTCTATTTTCCCAGATTAGGAAGGAAATAAGCATTTATTAAGTACCTACTATGTGCCAGGCACTTTACAAAAATAATTTCATTTGATCTCCACAACAGTTCAGGGGTATAGGTGCTATTTTTATCCCCTTTTTACAGTTGAGGAAACTGAGGCAAAGAGCCATTAGTTAAGTGTCTGAAGCTGGGTTTGAACTATCTACTGCACCCCCTAGCTACTTCTAGGTTTTAGGTTACTCAAAGCAAGTACTGTGAAGGCTTAGGTAATGCCTGTGATCAAAAGGTTTCAGAGATGAGAATACACATCCCCATCTCCCAATAGAAGAAGCCATTTCATAAGCATATCCTTGAAGGACTCAGATTCGCTTCAGCTGAAGGTAAGCCCTGGGAAAGTTAATGCTCAGAAATCCTGACCTCAATCTCATAGGCTTACGTCAGAAACTGGGTGTGTGGAATGGGGGAAGTATAAAGAAAAGGGTAATTATCAAAGCTAGAGAGTGTCAGGGATAGGGTCCCACTCCTCCCATTCCTCCAAAAAAAAAAGCCCTCTTTCTAGTATAATGAGATTTCCCTGACGTTCCTTCGAGCCTTGGATAGTCCTGAGTCCATCATCTCCTGCTTTCTTAATCAATACCAACCAAAAGAGTCCTTCTCTGGCTTTCCTAGTTCCACTGTGAAAACACCTATTGTGAGGTCAGAGGGGCTCCAGACCTGCAGGAGGATGAGCTGCGGGGGACACTAAAGGAATGAAGAGGGAGTTTGAGGGCACTGGGACAGAGCAGAGGCTCTTTGGGATGGGGCAGAAGTTCTGCTAGCTGGGATAATGCTCAGTTGTTGCACATCCCTCCCTAATAAAGGATCATAGGATAATAGGGTCATAGATTTGGAGTGGGATGAGAAAGGCAGGGGAGGAGAGGGATATAAAGGAATGTAACTATCCACAGGCTCAAAGATACTTTGTGCATCTGCACTACTAAAACAATAGCTCAAGAGCCCCCACTGGTTCACTTACCTTTAATATTCAGCCAGCAGACACAGCTCAAAGCAAAAGCGTTAACTGAGATGGCATGGTAAAAACAGTAACTACAACACATTCCCCACTGCAAACCTGGGGCATACTTTCCCACAAATACAAGCAGTCTCAAAGGAAAGAGTGGGAAGATATCTAGAGTGCAGTGGTAATGAGGCACACATATAGGAAACACATGTGGCCAAGGAAACAGGCAATTGATAAGCTTAGAAGAGACTAGGGCTGAATACAAGGGTGGGCTGGATCCATCTCTAACCACCTTGTGAGAGCTGATTGTTACATTTTCAGAATTTCAATCTCAGAAATAGGAATTGCTACAAATCAGGCCTTGACTTATTATTTTTGTATGTCTAGACTTAAGAGAGTATTAATAATGCAGATCAAACTTAAAAGTGTGTACATATTTTTTTTTTTGAGAATCCAGTTGTTCAACATTTACCAGCACAACCCTGTATTACTCTAGGAATATGCTTGAGATAAGAGTACTATGGTAAAAGGCTCAGGGAGTGAACTCCTCATCACACTGGAATCCTAGTGACTGTGATCTAACAGCAGCAACAATGACAATAATAAAAATATCTGGGGTTTACATAGTACTTTAAGGTTTGCAAAGTGCTTTGTCCATTATCTCATTTGAGCCTCATAACATCCCTAACTGGATCTATAGATATGGGAGTCATTTGCATAAGATGGTCATTGAACCCAGAGCAACTAATCAGATAAACAAGAGATTATAGAGAGAGAAGAAAAGGGAACCCAGAACAGAACCTTAGGGTACACCAATAGAGGAAAGGACATGAATCAAACCAGGCAAAAAGGATAAGAACCAGGAAAGAGCAGAGTCACAGAAACCTAGAGAGGAGTGAGTAGCCAAGACAAGAGAGTGGACAACAATGTCAGATGCTGTAGAAATTTCAAGCAGAATAAAGGCCAAGAAATGCCATTGGACTTGATAAATCACTGGTAACTTTGGAGTGAGCAGTTTCAGCTCAATGATGAGGTTGGAAGCTTTCATCCCAACTTATTGTGTATCCGTAGTGCCTTTCACATTACTACTAATGGCCTGCCTGTTAAACTGCTTGTTAAAATCTGGACAATCTATGCTCTTTATCCACTTTATTTTTCCTCTGTGAATGCTAAGCTTCTTTACTACATCAGCAGAAAAAATAACTTCTGGTATCTATTATTTCATTTGTTCATTGGTTGATTCATTGGTTGGTGAAAGAGTTGAACTGGATGATGAAAGAATTATTGTCCCTTCATTGGCAAGATTTTGAGAATGGTCCCAGTGACAGTCTGTGTCTGCTCTCCAAAGACCTGTCTGGCCAAGTGTGAAGAGGCTTATCACCACTAGGTGATGATTTTTTTTTTGGCCATATTGACCCAAGACATAGATAAAAATATAAAATGGTCATCAATCCTGAACTTTCTGCTTCAATGATGACAGTAGCAGAATGGAAGAAAGGGGAACAGAGGTTTCATAATTTTTAGAATGTCTTGCTTTGTTTTGTTTTGTTTAGTCATGTCCAACTCTTTGTGACTCCATTTGGGGTTTAGAATGTCTACAAACATTAATTTAACTGCTGCTACACTAGATATGCATTCTTTTTTTCTTTAAGAAAATT